TACAGAAAAGGAAGCAATGTTACAATAATCTAAAACCAATCATAGAAACAGCAAAAACGAAGAGTTAGAGAAGAAAGCAAGCAGGATTAAACACAAATGTGCCAATTTCCATTCATTCTTTTAAGAATTAATATCTCTCTTTGGGGCTGGCTGGTGGCATAGTGGTTAAGTTCCTGTGCTCCACTTTGGCAGCTGGGGGTTCGTGGGTTCGGATCACAAGTGTGGACCTAGTACCACTCGTCAAGTCATGCTGTGGTGGCATCCCACATAAAACAGAGGAAGATTGGCACAGATGTTAGCTCAGCAACAATCTTCCTTAAGCAAAAAGAGGAAGATTGGCAACAGATGTTAGCTCGGAGCCAATCTTCCCCACAAAAAGAAAAAAAAAAAAGAAAAGAACTAACATCTCTGTATAAAATTAGAAACATTTATCTAGTAGCTCAGCAATTTCATCACTTTAATTTCTCTTTCTTCTGTTAAATATAAATAAAATAAGCTAATTAAAAATATCATATAGAAAAATAAGACTAATGAGAAAGGCATAGTTCTACTGGATACTGTACTATTATATGGATATAACATCAAAACAATGTGCGACTAGCACATGGATAAATGGAAAGGTTTAAAAAAAGACAGTCAAGTAGACAGATCCACATACATAGAATTCAGTCTATAATGAAGGTGACTTCTAATTAGTGCAGAAAGTGATTATTCAATAATGCTTGTGACAATCAGGCGGCCATTTGAGAAATAAATAAAATAAATTCCAGATGCAGTGAAAATTTTACCAGGAAAGATTAAATAAGTATGGGAAGGAAACATGGAAGGAAAATGTTTAATTCATCATAGAGAAGGAAAAGCCTAAGTATGTCACAACACCAGAAATGATAGAAAGAGATTTCAAAATTCAACTGCAAGATTTAGAAACAAAAATCTCCTGCATGGGAAGAAAAAAACAATATACAAGGTAAAACAGCTAAGACAAAAATAGCTATAAATCATATCTGTTATGTTTTTATATATACATTTATTTGTCATTCCTGCCATGAAACAGTTTCTGGATCAGAGAAGAAACGAACAGTTTACTTGCAGAGCATCTTAGCACCATTCCCCACACCCTACTTCTCTGTGGGGCCTGACATCCCTGTGCAGGCAGAGGGGTATGTCCACAGGAGAGGAACCCCAGAACTACTCAGCTCAGAGCTTACATGAGTGTTGCCGGCATAGCCCTCCTTCCACCGTTCTGGAGGAGGAGAGCCAACACAGCTTGGAATGCAAACACATCCTTCTGGGGAGAATAAGACTTTCTCTCCAGCACTCTATCTTTTAACTTGCTATCCTTTAATCCAGGTGCCAGAGGTCTTTGATTAGAAAGCCCTCACTGTGTAGAAATGTGAAAATATTCATGAAGCATCACTTCCTGATAATATCACAAATGGCTAAATCCTGAAAATATAAAGAACATCTACAAGTCAATAAGAAAATTCAAAGGGCAAAGGATCTAACAGTCTATTCAAAGAAAAGCAAATGTAAATGAATCTATGAAGAAAAATTCAACCTTACTCTTAATAAGGAAAATGAAAATGAGATACCATTTTTCACTATTATAGAGAAAAAGATCAAAAGGCAAAGATCTTTTTAGCCAGGGAGTGAGGAAATAAGCTCTCCTATAAAAGGCAACTTGATAATATTTAACTAAATTATAAAAGCCCATATTATATTCCCAGCAATTCTACTTCCACATGTGCAAAATCATGACATGAAGGATCATTCATAATTGGACTATTTGTGATAGCAAAATACTGGAAAAATTATCAATAGGAAATTGGTGAAATAATACGATTGTTCATCCATACAACTGAATATTAAAAATCATAAAAATGAAGATGATAACACTTTAAGTTGAGTATGGAACACTACCAAAGATACACTGTTAAGTAAAACAAAGGCTGCCTCTAGTGGAGAAATAAATGCTTGTGATAAAACTGTGGTAGGGAGAGTTACTTTCCAACAGACTCTTTTGAACCATTTGGATTTCTTTTTTACCAATTATATGAATTCTTAGTATTATCATTCAATAAAATAATAATAATAAAATTATTCGAGCAAAATTACATATAATTTAGTCCATTAAAATAGCATTTTAACAAAATTGCATATTTTGGTAGAGTACTTCATCTATCTATTCATCTTTCACATGCAAAGAGGAAACAAGTGAGATGGGTGTGGATCAACACATGAGTTTCTAGTACAAGAAGTGAACAGAGAGCATCCGACCAAAGGGAGTAACATGATAAAGGCACACGCAGGTCAAACTGAATGACAGACTGCAGGGAAAGAAAGGATTCTCTCCAAACTAGTACACGGAGACAGGCAGTGGCAGGAAAGAGGACTCTGAGGGGAGTTAAAGCCACAGAGAAAAGAACTTGTAACAGAAAACTATTTGAATTTTATCTTTAAGCGACAGAAAACTAGTGACTTTAAAAACAAACAAACATATACAAAGATAGTACAGCTAATTCTGATACACAAATTCTGACCAGACTGAGAATAAAACCAATCAAGTAAACCAAGTATTTATGCACCAAACCTGGTGACTTCTCAGTGTTACATCTCTTTAAGGAAAAACTGTATTTATTATTTCAAATTTCGTTCTTAAGGAAATCTAGCAAAATGAAGATGTTACTCACATATCTGTTACTAGAAAAAATGTACAAGTTCCAAAGCTGGAAAAGGGGCAATTCAATCAGGAAATTTCAAGGAAAAAAACAAAGAACAAAGAAAATTACAGCCCTGCAAGCTCAAACTGAAACACTAATTAGAGATAACATATATCTTTGAAGATAAAGAATTTGGTGAATGTGCCTTAAGTATTATAATTTAAGCTTAGTTAAGAAATTCGAAAGAGAAAATCTACTATTAAAAGAACATTTAAATTATTTAAACAATATCAGAAAGAAGTCTTTGAAATATGTAAGAATGGCTTTCTGCATACTATGAAATCCAAGATTCTTTTCTCATGCTCCCATTCAAGTACAGCCTCCACCACCAAATATTTCCCCATCACATACATACTTCCAAAAGAATCTAAATTAATTTGTCTGGTAACTCATGGGATTACTGTCACTGGAAATAAATGCACAAAAAAAGAAATATTATTAAACATTAAATGGGAGACACAAACGTATCAAAGTGTGATATTAGTAGGTAGTGTAGAATTAGGTACTATCAGATCTAATATGATAGAATTCTTTATGAATTTAATTTTCTTCCTGAAATTCATATATAATCTTTGTTGAGGGTATAGAACATAATTTCCTGGCCTATCCAAGATACATAATATAAACATAGGTACCTAAATGATTTTGACCAACTACATAGAATTATTTGATATAAATACCAACTTCTGGAGGTCTTATACAAAAAACAACCATGGGACAAACTTGAAAAATCTTATGGGCTGAGATAAATGAGCTAGAAACAAATGAAAACACACACACACACACACACACACACACACACAAGAACATAGTAATAAAGTATCCTAAAAAGATTGGTTATTAATTCCATAAATTCTGATAAGCATTCCAACTAAACAATCTAGTATCTTTTGCATCTGGAATAAAATACAAATGTTTTATAGTCACTTCAAATTGCCTTCAGAATCACATTACGAGCTATTATTTTCATCATGACATAATAAAGTCTCCATTTTAATCAAAAACATGATTTCCCAGCTAATTATCTAATTAGACATACTTTGTTATAAAGACATATTTTTAATCAAAATCAAATTTATCTCCAAAAGGCAAAATTCTGTCACTTCTAAAGATATTCACAACAATACAATACAGACTTATAAAGTAATTTCAAATGGAAGTGTCACAAGTTTTGAGCAATAACTACTGAGGTTATTCCCTACACAAACTCTTCAAACATGTATGATATTGGTCTCAAAATGCATCTAGATACATAAATTCTGCCATAGTAGATGAAAATCAGTCCCATGATATAATCTCATAAGCATAATGTTGAGAAAAGAAGCCAGGTACAAAAAATTATACATTATATGATCCCACTGATTTAAAGTTTAAAAAAGAAACAGGCAAAATTAATTATATTGCTTAGATGTACATAATTAAAAGGAAGAACTATACAAAAATGCAAAGAGGTGTTTAGAACTAAGTCAGAAGAGTGAATGGCTCTAGGAACATGGCGGAGGAATAACTGAGAAGGGGAAAATGTTGCGGGTGGTAAGAAGGGCTGGCATTTTGGTACTTCTAGATCCAGACGACGCTTACATGGATTTTTTGCTATAAAAATTTTTCCAACTATACATTTATGTTCTATATACTTTTCTCTATGTGTATTTTAGTTTACAGTTTAAATAAAAGAAAAAAGGGAAGAAGGAAGGAAATAAAGCCACCAGTTAGCTAATAGCACTAATGGCTTCCTGAGACCTTAATTGGAATGAGGTAGTTATGTCCGTAAAGTCAACAGTTTCAGGGGTGGCCACTTGATTTCTCAAGCTCATAGCCATGGCAAAGGAGCCAGTTGCTCCAGAAGCCAGGTTGGGTGGTATAGTTCTGAGAGTCATTCCTGAAAGTTCGCTCTGGGTACCCGACCTGTCCTTCCTCCATCCCTTCTAAGCATTTGTAAGCAGTTAATCTCTTTGTATTTATCATACCTAGACTAGTTTCTCTTAACAGCACAGTAACGCTAACTAATGTGGTTCATCGAGAGAGGCTCAAGAAAAAAACCAAAGTGGAATTCCCAATCTGAAGACTTAACAGTAATAAAGCAGAGGGCTGGACACCGACGTTCAACTGACCCGGTGCTCACCCAGCATGTCTAACACGTTTGAGCACAAGCAGAAACACTAAATCTTTCTTTAACACTTTATGAAGTTGATTTTTAACTTTTACAAAGCAAAAAGGGGTGGGTGAGGGAGGGTAAAATACAGAGGCATGGAGAGGAATGAAAAACAGAGTTTTTGTTACCTGAAGTCTCGTATTCATTTCTAAGAAATAAAAATTCTTCTTTGAGTCCACAAGGAATTCTACAGTTCCAGCAGAAGAATACTTCACTGCCTTGGCAAGGGCTACAGCTTGTTCTCCCATCGCTCTTCGAGTCTCAGAATCCAGAAAAATGCTACAAATACAGAAAGAGTAATAATCTACATTTTGAACAAAACTCAAGTACTCTTCTGTGTGCTTTACATAAAAGTTTTCTTAAAGTTTATTCAGATATGATCATCTATATCAATTTAAGATTTCACATTATATGCTTTGCATATGCTTATAATATATGCTTGTATTATTAAGCATAACATTTAAATACATCAATTTCAGATTTTTAGAAAACTAACATTTGAACTTTCCACATTATATTGCAACTTTAATTGGTTTATAAAATATACAACTACTTCAGCACAAGTAGTTTCAGTTAGTAAAATTTAACATATATATTCAGAATTACTTCAAGCTAAAATTGGGAAAAAAATAAATTCTTGGAAGCTAACATATACAATTGATCCTTGTTATTCATGGATACCATTTTTCAAATTTGCCTATTTGCTAAAATTTATTTGTAACCCCAAAATTAATACTCGCAGCATTTTCACAGTCGTTTATGACACTCCCAATATGCGTGTTTCCAGCAGAGGTGGAACAAGGCAACACTGCCTTCTTGATTCAGCTCTCATACTGTAAACAAGTGTCCTTTTCACAGTTTATTTATTGCCATGTTCTTTGCATTTTTGCAGGGGTTTTTTTTGTGTGTGTGTGTGTGTGTGGTTTTCTTTTTGGTGATTTCGCTGTCTAAAACAGCCCAAGTGTTACACTGAAGTGCAGTCTGGTGTTCTTAAGCGCAAGAAGGCTGTGATGGGCCTTACAGAGAAAAAAATGTGCAACAAATGAACTCTGCTCAGGCATAAGTTATGGCCCTGCTGGCCAGGACTACGAGTTCACTGTTAATGAATCAATAATAGATATTAAGCAAGGTGTTTTTCAACAGAAACACATATAAAACAAGGTTATGTACTGATCAGTTGATGAAAATGTTCTGACTAGAGGATCACGGGAACCTAACCTTGTATTTCCCTTAGGAGCAACGCTTCCATATTTACTAATTTCGTGTTCACAGCAATTTTACAGAACATAACTACTACAAATAACAAGAATCAACTGTACATCTAATAAATCCTCAAAACTTTTTTTTACAATATCAAAATCACATTCTAGCAGGCAAGTAAAGTTGAAATATTTCCAATGAACTCTGAAAAGAATATTATCAAATCATTTCTGCATTTTCACAGATTTTGCTTCTATGCAAGAAAGGCTCTGAGAAACAGAACACTGACTTCTTTTCTACTTCTGGACTAAAATTATTCCCAAATAAGTAAGATTTAGATAGCATTTTATGAAAGCTTTCTTATATAATAGTATAATGAACTTGCAGGTACATATTTCCCATATGTAATAATTATTAGTATTTAGCCATTCTTGTTTTATCTTTGTTGCAAGTCCACTTTTCTACCAGGCCAACCCAGCTTTTTCTTTTATTTTAAAGTAAATCCCAAATTAGGTATTATTTCATCCATAAAAATTTCCGCCTCTGTTTCTGTCGGTGCTCTTTTGCAATATAATCACACTTTAAAAATAAACAAGAATTCCTTAATAGCATTTAATATCCAGTTAGTATTCAAATTTCCCTGATTATCTGATAAATATCTTTACAGCTAATTTCTTTGAATCAGGATCCAAATAAGGTCCAGCTACTGCATTTGATTGGTTTTAACATCTTTACAATTCTTTTAACTTGTAATGCCCTCTTCCCTTTTTTTCCGCCAAGGATATGGTCATTTTCCTGTCTCGTTCTTCACGTTTTAGGTTCGGCTGCATGCAAGCCCTCAGTGTCTTTTCACATCTGTATCATATTTCTATTCCTTATGAACTGCTGCTTAGATCTAGAGCCTTGAATATACTCAAGTTGAATTGGTCGGGGGAAGGCAAGAGCACTTCACAGGTGGGAAGTGTGCTGCCTACTGTCTTCCTTTTGAAGGCGTTAGGATTAACCATTGGATTTTACCATTATGAATCTTATTTACCTCTTATAAATAACAGTGCTGCATTAACCTAATGGATATAGGCATAGAAGATATTTCAACAATAACTGGCTGACAAAATTAATGAAACCAAAAGAAAGAAATACAACCAAAGATTAATGTCATAATACCTGGAGAATCTCAAGTACAGTTGAGTAAAACTATGTTTGTCCTGTCTGGTCTTGTCCTTTCCATTGTCATAAACTCTGCTGGTGATACTCAGAGCTATAAGCAACTTCATCACTGCACTCAAAGCACAGTGGTAAATTCTCACTCTAGGAACTGACAACTACCGATTCCAACTACTTTAATATTTCACAGCACACAAATACATATCAAGTCACTAATAACAATCAGTTCTAGGGTGGTTTTTTTAAAATTTTGATTCCTACTGCTTTAAATGTTCTTCTTTTTTTCCTCTAAATTAATTAATGAGATGTTCACGTGAAAAATTTACATCTTGAGAGAGAGAGGGGAAATAAATCAAAATCATGGTTCAAGATTTCCGTCTGTGAAAGACTTCTATCTCAGATAAGACTTCAGTGAATTTTGAATGAAAAGAGAAAGTTAATTATATTGGACAAGATTCAACAGAACGCACAACATAAAATTGCAAAAAAAAGAAGTATCAGAGACTATTACTGTTCTACCAGCATCTATTGTCCCCTTCTTCCACACATCTGGAATTTTAGCCAAGCACGTGGTAACTTAAGGAAAAAAGACATTTCCCAGCCTCCCTGGCAAAGTGGCTAACTCCAGATCACCACCAGGTAATCAATACTGGCAGGCTCTGGGACCCTTCCTAAAGACATGCGGAGAGCATTCCTTTTGCATTTTCTTCTTCCTTTCTTCCATCCTAGTCCTGGGCCCTGAGTTAGAGGGCTACACCACAGGTAGTGGGTCATGCCCCTCGTAGGCTGCAATGAGCTGTTCTTCACAGCATCGTGACTGCTTCTTAAGCGTAAGTATCCCAAGAGACAGGAAGCGGAAGCTGGCAGTTTCATAAGGCCTGGGCACAGCTTCGCTTCCACGTAGTCAATTGGTCAAGCAGTCCCAGAGCACAGAATCAAAGGGAAGGAACATAGATCCCTCCCCCAACTCCTCAAGAAGAGAAGTGGCAAAGGATTTGGGGATTGTATTTTAAAACCACTACACTGCATCATATTTTTAAAAACTAATATAATTACAGTAGGATTTGATTTTTACCATTACCCTGTGATTAAAAGTTCATTCATATTCACACCTACTCTTTTCAGAAACTATACATGCATTATATCAAAGCACACTGACTATGCTGATTAAAACAACACTTGGCAATATTCCTAAGTGCCTGGTTACTAAAAAGAACGATGTACATGCAACTCGGGATTTTTAAAAACTAAGACAAAACCAGAATATATACAAATACCAACCTAGCATCAAATTAGAAATGAGGCTCCATGAAACTGCTACACCAAACACATGAAAGGTGGATTGGAGAAGTGCCCAAAGTAGTTCTGATACATCAAGGAATTTCTAAGAACCATGCCCCAGAAGCCTTTTCATATTAGGATAAATTCAGGAAATTCAGGATTAGTTTTATGAAACCTTCACCAGTAGGAGACGCTAGAAGGCATGTATCCAAGAAATTCCACATGCCCAGAAACACCAGCAGGGTCTATATTACCTAGAAGCCTACAGGAGTCATAAAAATGACTTCTGATACTTTCTTCTCTAATTCAACCCCAACTTACTTTTTCAAGTATTCTCTCACTTTCATGCACTGAAGTACTGAGGAAGATCAAGTGGCAAATTCTTAATTATAAAAATACACGTTAACAGATTCTACCATGACTATGAAAGCAATTTTAGCCAATAAAGTGAAAAAGAAATATAAGAAATACATGAAAGCAGACTATTATAAATGTTCACTGGGAGAGACTCTTACCTTGGTGCTTCCTCCACCACTTTCTGATTTCTTCGCTGAATTGAGCACTCTCTTTCATTGAGCCACAAAGCATTCCCATGTTTATCACCTAAAACCTGAAAGCGCAATACCATTTGAAAAAGCACACAGCCGTACCCATAGAACATGTGCCCCCTAACATTTTCTCCATGCCACACCCCTTGGTTTTTGATACTCAAACCTCAAAGAATCTACGACCTCTCAAATATGTTCCTCTTTTGGTTGATGTTAATAAACGAAAACTTCATATTTACAACCTCAAAACTCAAAACATTTTTATCAAAACAACTTGAGGAAAAAATTCTCACGTTACATTTTCAATACACTAGGTAAAATATCAGAATCAACTGTACAAATTTAGTGAAAGACACTGAGTGTCAATAAAGGGGATATACATTCTAGATATCAATGGTGCTTAGGAGAACCACGAGTTGTTACTACAAATATCTGTTTGTTGTTAACATATTAAATGTCTGTTGATCAGGAAATGCTATTTTATTTATATCCAACATGTAATCTGTTACTTACATATGGATGTTCTTATTGTGCTTTATTTTTGTTACAGGAAATTACTAAAGGTCTGGAGTTCATATATAAAATATTATGATTTTTCCCATTTGTAACAATGGGAAATAAGCTGAGGTTGCTAGATAAAATAACAGGACACCCAGTGAAATGTGAATTTCAGATAAACAATAAAAAATTTTAATAAAAATATGTCCCAAATATTGCATGGGACATATTTTTTACTTTTTAAAAAAATCATTGCTTACCTGAAACTTAAATTTAACTTTTATCTTATCAGCTAAATCTGGCAATGCTAAAACAGTCTCTTCATTAATATTTTTGCACAGAATGTTTGATTTTCAGGGATGGATTAATCTATTTTCAAGATTAAAGAGTAGATGCATATTACTGAACGCATATATTAAGTTCACAGAGGAAAAAACTGCTCTAGAAGCCAAAAGACTAGGCACTAATTCTAGGTCCAAACAGCTATGCAACCTCCCTGGGCAAGTCACTCTGTTTCCTCATGCATTATAAACAGTAGATAATACAATCTTAATATCTTACATGGATACTGAAAAAGTCAGATAAAAAAGGATCATGGGTATAACAGGTAGGGTAATAAAATGAATAGTTAACATACGACTGCAAAGTTAATTTTTAGGAATAAAAATCTACCTAAACCTCAAGAAGGATTCCAAACAAAGGAAAACATTAGAGTAATGAAATGCCACTAAGTTAGAATTTTGTTTCTAAGATTCTTAAAGGTGACTGTATGAAGTACATCTAAAAATATTTTAAATCATTATAACTCTCAAACTCTTTTTTAATCCTAGTTGACAAGGAAATGAAAGTAGACTTAGTCTCTAAGAAATAAAGCCAAATTAACCAAGAATTCTCAGCAACATTTCCAACTGTAAAGTATTAGATTCACATATAGAATCACGAGTTTGTTTTTCTCTAAATTCTGTGTAGTCTCCCAGTTCTTTATTAAAAATTGTCATTTACTAAGCAGTCAACAAAATAATTTGATGACCACTTATTCCATTAAATAAATGAAGAGACTAAGTAAACAGAAATAAATAAAAAGTGCTTGTAAGAAAAGTTAATCCTTAAAGGCATCATGAGTTTTTTTTAAACTTTAATACAGCCCTTTATAGAAATGCATGTACTCAACATGGAAAAATCTCCCAGGTATACTACAGTGCTTACTGAGAAGAGCTTCATCATGAAAGACTGCAAGCCCTTTAGCATCCCTGGATCCAGCCCATGAAATACCAGGAGTGCCCTGACTGAGAATCATTGGTTTAAGCCACACAGAGTGACACCATCCTCACCGCCCGGGCGCAGCTCCAGAAAAAGAAAGGACATGGTATGCGACAGCATACGTAAAAACTGATAGGTAATATATACATATATACTTCAGGACTATGGCACAAGATTCAAGAAACATTACCAGTGCCTGCTTCTCGGGATAGAGACCAGGGGACATAGAGACAAGGATGAAAGGGATGCTTACTTTTCATTGAGTATTCTCTATCCTACACAGAAATTACCTAATATAAGGAAATAAAATTTGAAGAAAATAAGTAAATAAAAAACCTTCCAAGTGTAGATCAGATATGGAAAACGTCTGTTTAAGCTACTGAGTCCAATTTATTTAAGCTACTGAGAGATACTTTCACCTATGTTTAAAAATATCACCTAGACTACATGCCATGGCTAATTAAAATAAATTAAAAGGTTGAGTAAATATATAATTACTTAACACAATTTAACAAACATTTATTGAGCATTGGTAATGTGAAAGACACTGGTCTGGTTGCTGAGTAAGACCTAGCCTCTGCTCTCAAGAACTTCTTGGTCAATCAGAAAAGTCAGATAGCTAAAGAGAAAATAACATAAGTGATCTTCTAGTAGCATAAACAAGTGCTAGATGGGGAATATAGAGAAGGGGAAAATTAATTCTGACCCTGGAAATTACAAGAAATGCAGGAAGGGCAGCCAAAAATATCTCCCCTAAATTACAGACTTAAATATAAACAGCCTACTCAACACTTACACTTTAATATCTAATGAGCATCTCAACCTTGATTTGCCCAACATAAACTGATTTCCTCCCCAAAACACGCACCTCTGACAGTCTTTTCTATCTCAGTAAAAGACAGTTCCATTCTTCTAATTCCCCAGGACAAAACTCTAAAGCTATCTTGGATGCCTTACTCTTTTCTTATATATCACATCTGATCTTTTAGAAAATCTGGTCTACCTTCACAAAATATCCAGAATTCAATCACATCTCACCACCTCCACTACCAACACCCTGGCCCAAGCTGCCAGCATCACTCACTAGAATTACCACAAAAACCTCCTAAGGAATCTCTCAGCTTCAATTGCTGGTTTTCAGTTGCAAAGAATCAGTGAACAGTGTGTGCCTCCCTCTTTCTATCTTGTTGAATAGGGGTATTTACTGCAGTATCATATCCGTTTTTCATCATTGTATGTTGGAAGAGTGGGTGTCAGACTGTCTTTAAATTCAGAGATGTTCCCAAGAGAATAACTGCTCTTGAGGAACCATATAGAAGAAGTCTCAACCAGACCTGGACCAAAATGTGTAGGTGAGATCCTGGTCTTGGAAGGAAGGGGGGGGTCATATTTTGCTATCATTGGGGGCCAGAGAATGGGTTGTCATAGATAGCATTCAAAGACAGCCTCAAATAGGACACAAATCACGGTATTCACACCCTTGTATAATCTCATATAGCAATGATTCTAGGCTGGCCAACTAACTTGAAAAATGCGACAAAAGTGACTGTGCCAGTCTGAGCCTAAACCTTAAAAAGGCTGGACAGCTCCTTCAAGCAGCTCTGACCAGCAACGTAAAAAGTCTGAATATCCATATAGAAATGCCACATTGAGAAGCCATGTGGAAATGCTCTAAGAGTGCACAGAGAGAGAGAGAAGCCCAGCTGCCCCAGCATCTCGGCTGTGCTCTTCTTCAAGTCAACCCTCCAAGGCGCTTAACGCTGGATGCTCCAAACCAGCCAAGTGCCAGCACGACTACTGCCCCAGGGGACAGACAACATGTGAAACAAAAGACGTGCCCAGCTGAATCCAATCGACCCAGAGAATCATGAGAAAGAGTTAAATGTTGTATTGTTTTTTATAGTGGCAAAATATACACAACATAAAATTTACAATTGTAACCATTTTTAAGTGTACAGTTCAGAGGCATTAAGTACATTCACACTGTTGTGCAACCTTAAATGTTGCAAATCATTGCATTTTGGAGCAGTTTGTCACTCGGCAACAGATAACCAAAACATATAAAATAAACAATTGGATTTAGAAAGGATACTAGATACAAGCCCAATATATAAAAATCAACTATTTTTATACACAAGCAACAACCAATAGGTGAATGAAATTTAGAAAATAATATTTATAATAGTATCAAAAATTATCAAATATCTAAGAATAAATCTAACGAAGTACAAACAAAACCTTTATACTCAAAACTACAGAACAGTGTTGGGAGAAATTAAAGAAGATCTAAATAAATGAAGAGAGATTCTAGTTCATGGAATAGAAAACTCAATATTGCTAAGATGTCAGTTCTCCCCACAATAATCTCTAAATTTAATACAATCCAAATCCCATCAGGTGTGTGTTGGGGGCAGGGAGTGGTGTAGAGGGGGAATGGGTTGACAAGTTTGAGGAAACTCAAAGAACCTAAAAAGAGTCAAAACTATATAAAGAAAAACAATAAATTTAGAGCACTTACAGTACCAGATTTCTAGACTTAGTATAAAACCAAAATAATTGAGACAGTGACCAAACGTCACTTAATTTACAACAAATGGTCACTACAATAAATGATTCTGGAGAAACTGGATACCAGAATGGAAAAAAACTTACTTTGACTTCATCTCACACCAAATAAAGGAAATAATAATAATACAAGGAGAATAACAGACCTAAATATCACACCTGAAAGATAAAGCTCCTAACTTGGGTGTGCAAAATGGGCTTACAATGGACTTCAATAAAATTAACAACTTCTATTCTTTGAAAGACATTATTAATAAAGTGAACACACAAGCCACAGACAAGGAGAAGATGTGCACAATACATATATTTGGCAAAGTACTCATAAACAAAATAGATACAGAACTCTGAGCACTCAATAATTTTTAAAAATCTAATTCAAAAAAGAGCAGCAAGGATGAGACTTGAGCAGTCCCTTCACAAAATAAGATATTCAGATGGGCAATAAACGTATAAAAAGGTGCTCAACATCAATAGTCAGGGAAATCCAAATTCAAACAAAGAGATACTGTTACATGTGTGCCGAAATAGCTAACTGTGAAAAAAATTGAGAATGCTGAGTGTTGGAGATGGCAGCAGTGGAAACTTTCATATACTGCTGGTGAGAGTATTCATTAGGACAACCACAGTATCTACTAGAACTAAACATAAGCTTACCATGTAATCCAACACCCCCTTTCCTCAGCATATCTGAAAGAATGTATTTGTCCATTAAAAAAACATAGCGGTTTATTCATAATATCAAAAAGGTGGAAACAACAGTAAAATGGATAAACTGCAGGTTATTCAAACAACGGAACACCACAGAGCAATTTCTCAAAGTGATTGATAACATACAGCCTCATGGAAGTATCTCAAACATATGATGTTGTGTGAAAGCAGCCAGGGACAACCAAGTATATATTGTATGATTACATTTTTATGAAGTTTAAGAAAAAATAAAAATAATTTCTAGTATTAGATGTTAGAACAGCAGTGACTTTCGGTGGCCAAGGAGAGGGATTGACTGGGAAGTGGTACGAAGGAAACTTTTGATGTAACAGAAATGTTCCATATATAGATCTGGACAGTTGTTACCAAGTTATATCTGTATATAAAATTTTATATTGAATTGTACAGTTAAGATTTGTGGACTTCACAGTATATGTGTGATATCTCAATTTAGAACATCTAAAAACAAAGACAAACCTTGCTAGCCTCAGAAAGAAATACATTACATTCAATTTTTTTGTTTGTGTTTTGTGAAGAAGATTGGCCCTGAGCTAACATCTGTTGCCAATCTTCCTGTTTCTGCTTGAGGAAGACTGTCGCTGAGCTAATATCTGTGCCAACCTTCCTTTACTTTATGTGGGATACCACCACAGCATGGCTTGACAAGCAGTGCTGCTAGGTCCATGCCCGGGATCCGAACCTGTGAACTCTGGGCCGCCAAAGCAGAGTGGGCAAATTTAACCACAACACCACCAGGCCAGCCCCTAAATGTTTTAAAAATATAAATTGATTATCTAATTTGCAAATTTTTTCCCCACTCTGGAAAATTTGAAAATCTACATGAAGATTTTCCACCTATAAATAATATCTATGTAAAATAATAATTAAGCTTAAAAACACAATGGCAGAATGTAGGTCTTCACCATATTATGCCACAGCAGAAAGGACAAGGGCAGCAAACAACCTTTTATTTAGTTTTCTGGTTCTCTATCTGCACCAAATTAAGAAAGAAATATACTTACATTTCAATATGATTTCTAATTTGATGCTTTTATTTTATCAATTTTAATAGTTACATATCAATTCATAGCCACAATGTATAAAATTAGCACAAGGCATTTCCAACAGAAAAATGAAAACTTCAGCAGACTTCTCTCCTTCTGTGTTTTACTTCAGAAAACCCATTTGTTTTGCTGAAATCCACACCTCCACAACCACTTTAATGGTTGGATCAAAATCTTACTCTGAGTAAAGAAATGACTTGTTCATCTCTACACAACCGGCTCCAAGCAGAACACTTGTCACAGTAAGCCACACAGATATTTGGTGAACTGAAATGACACAGGAGTCCAGGCACTTTTCTTTTAAAAATGCCCCAAAATGGTCCAATCTCAGAAGGGGACTGAATGAGTCTCTAGGTGGAATATATTTAGCCTGGCCAGATATCCTGGGACTGATTCTTTCTGGAGCTGGATTTATGTATCATTTCCCATCCTGACCAACATTGTGGCACTTTAACAAAAAGTATACCAGATTCCAAAAGGGAGGTGATCAATTTATATACATTTCCTATTTTGTACTTATTCAAATATATCAGAACAACTCACAATCATCCTAAATGGAAGAAAGGAAGTGTTTCCAATAGAAATAAATTATATTATTTTAAAGTCAAAATAACTAGGAAGTATCTTAAAATGTACCAACCTGGATTTCTATATGACGAGGGTTATCAATAAACTTTTCTATTAGTAGTCTATCATCGCCAAAACTTGAAGCGGCTTCTTGAGATGAAAATCTAAAACCATCCCTGTAAAGGAAAACAGAAGAACAGTCAAACTAACTAAACAAATACAGCCCTCAATAGGAAGAAAACAGATCAATTAAATATTTATTTTGGCTTACTTCTGAACAAAAAAGAGAAAAATTCACTTAATGTACAAATAACTAAATTAACTTTGGTTGAACTGCAACTCTTCCACTCACTAGCTCTGTGACCTTGGGCGAGCAATTTAATTTCCCTGATCCTAAATTTTATATCAAAATAGGAATATCGATACTTATTTCACCAACTGTTAAAAACGGGATTCTTTTAATAAACCATACAAATCATATAAAATTCCATTTCTTCAACCTTAATACACCTTAATTTCATTAATAAAAAATATAAAAATGCATATCCACTTGACTCAAAAGTCAGAAGACGCAGACAAATTGTAAAGGGCCTAGCCAACTGCACAAATGAAGCAGAACGACAGCAAATACACTCAGTGAGAACGAACATACAATAGGAGGATCCTCAGGAACATTTCCTGATATTTTAAATACACACCTTTAAATGTAATTGCCTCCCACAATCCATACAGATCATTACAATTTTATCTTCTTTAAAATTGTTCAAAAATAATAAAAGTTCAATTTTTGAAAATAAAAATATGATTAATTATTGCTTTATACATGCTATTCTCAAACTATAACTGAAATCATTATTTTATGCTTATTAAATTCACACAATATGAAATGAGCTCATTTAGTCTATTAAAAACTCAAACTTGTTTTTACCTAAAACTATTTAAGCATATTATTTTCCATTCATTGATATATTTCTTTTACATGTAATTAATAGTTTCTTAATCTTTAAATACCTGCATTTAATGTACAATATTAAAATTCTTCCAAGCCTTTAATTTTCAGACACTCCATCCAACAATATTAGAAATAACTATCTCATTTGCTTTCGTGCTTGAAAAACACAACATTGCAAGTTAACACTGACTGGACCATAAATTTCAAAACATATTGCAAAAATTCCTATTTCTCAGAGTTCTCAGGGAAAAAGTACCAGGGTTTCTTCATCCTCCATTACTTCCTTGATTTAGGGAAATGGAGTTTAGATCTCAGGAGGCTACAAACCTCAAAGAAACTACAGCACAATGAATCACTGTATTCAATACTATATAACCAACTTTTTATTAGATGGGATATGATGATTCACAAAGAAAAAACAGCACTTTACAGTTTGTCTCTACTGTACTGACTGAGAGCTTTCATTTTGTTTAAACCAAGAACATCAAAAGAAAAAACATCAAAGTCACCCAAATAAATTATCAAGTTTGAAAGCATCGCCAACGTATTTTGAAGCTCATGGAAAAGTGTATTAAGAACAGCATTTGTTACACTCAGTTAAAAATTCATTCAATAAATATTTACTAATCATAAAACTATGTGCCTGATGCATATTTAGATGATGAGAATACAAAAATTTAAAAAAACTGCCCTCAGAGCACCTAAACTCTGAGGGGTATTCCAAAATGCAAACATGATCAATTTTCCATTCATGCCATGACATTTCATTTAAATTTAGATAGAGACAAGAAAGCCAGAGGTGACTGTAAAAAATATCTAAGGCTATTTTCAACAACCTTCATGAGTTTCACCTTAATTTATTATATAATAACAATAAACATTATTCTTTCAAAAATCTTTCAGGTGTTCTAAAGATTCTAAGCCAAGTTATAGATGTTTCTTCCCTGAAAAAGCTTAGGAAAGATGTTACAAGAGGGAGACACTTCTTGGAATAAAATAAGACAACAATTAATGGCTATTAAGTTTTATTTTGTGGATTATGTAAAAAAATTTCTTCCTCAGGGAAGGAGGGAGGAAAGAGTAGATGCAGTGCAGCATGATACCAACAGTTGGTGACCTCTAGAAGACAAATATTTAGGTGTTTTCTGGACTGTTCTCTCAATTTTTCTGTAGTTTTGATTTTTCCAAGTTAAGAGAGGATATATAGCAACTTTTTAAAATGAGGGGCACATATCATTAAATCAACTAGTGTCATACCTTTATTAATCTCAACAACGTTTCAGAGATGGTTTATCAAGTTGAAGAGAGTACTGGTTTAGGTAGAAAATTATTTATCTATGTGTCTCTGTTAATTATATGAACATATTTTGAATCAATGTGCCATTTACTGTCTAAGAAGGGGTTAATATTATTTACCAAAAGGCGCCTAATATATGAACGTATATAGTGATATCTGAAAATACACAATTTTAAATTAACATCCACAGGTCAACAGAAACACAGCAAATGTCACTGCCAAGAAACTGAAGAACAATCCCCACCATAAAGGAATATGTTATAACAGTAGCCCCAGAGAAATGATTAGTAAGAAATCTGAGGGGCCAGCCCCATGGCTGAGTAGGTAAGTTCGTGTGCTCCACCTCGGCGGCTTAGGGTTTCACCAGTTCAGATCGAGCGCAGACACGGCACTGCTCATCAAGCCATGCTGAGGTGGTGTCCCACATGGCACAACCAGAAGGTCCTACAACTAGAATATACAACTATGTACTGGGGAGCTTTGGGGAGAAGAAGAAAGGGAAAAAAAAAGAAGACTGACAATAGTTGTTAGCTCAGGTGCCAATCTTTAAAAAAAAAAAGAAAGAAAAGAAATCTGAGATCCTAAGAATAATGGAAAATAAGTGCTAAGGCTTTCAATGAAATTGCTATGTAAATGCCATAGAAAAAGGGGAAAACAATGACAAAAATATTAAAGTTTGTAAAATACACATCTCTTCCAAAACCATTAAGTTATATTTAATATCTTCACAACAACATTCTTTCCTACAAAGAGGCTTTAGCAGATTGTCTTTTCCAAAGATGGCCACAGTGGTATCTCCCATTCCATGTGCTCCTCTAAGAATCTTACCATTCCTTTATGAAGAAGTGGAATCTAATTCTCCTCCCTTTGAATTTGAGCAGAATTTGTGCTCACTGGTAATCAACAGAATATGGTGCAAGGGAACCTGTGTGACTTCTGAGACTGGATCATAAAAAGTGATACAGCTTCCACTTGGATCTGAAACAACTGTGCTTGGAACTCTGGGTCACTACATAAGAAGTCCAAAGCCACTATACTATGAAGAAGTCCATGCCCCCCATGGAGAGGTCCACTGGCACACAGGGGTTACAAATAAAGCACAAGAGATAGCTTCAACACCTGAACTTTGAAAGACAAAGGCCAAATAACACGCGTTATGTGGTAAAAATGGGACTAAGTATGCCACCTCCTCTTATGCTTGCTTCCAGCCACACACAGCAACCAGCCAGCCGAACTTTAAACATTTTACATAGTTAACCAATGCTCTGAAATATAAAGGCAAGTCTCCACTATCAAAAGGAACCAAGCCAGGCAAAAAGTTCCAGACCATTCTTCAATTTTGAAGATAAAAGCCCTCACTCTGACCTTAACCTCTCAGCATTTCCCAAGAAATTTTCAAGTCAAGCACTGTTGCAGCATATGCATTTAATTCATATAACTCAACCCTAAGACCAAAGAGAGAATAAGAGCAAAAATAAGATAACTTAAAACAGTGCCAGAAAGTCATCCTCGAGTGCTCTCACACTCTGTATCCAATCACTCAGGAAGTCCTGTTGCCTCTACTTTTAGAATTTAACTCTCTCTTATCACCTCCACCACGACACTGTGAAAGCCACCATCACCGTGTTTCTTGCATGGATTATTGCAACAGCCTCCCTACTGGTTTCTCTGATTCCAGAGTTCATGATTCCATCCCCAATAAGTCAATTACCAAGACAGCAACCAGAATGATCCTTTTAAAACCTAAGCCACAAAATTTTGATAACTGGTTAATCTGGATGATACATAAACAGAGGTTCATTATAGTCTACTTTTTCATATGTTTGAAATGATTATAATTAAAGAAATGTAAATAATGTTAGGCATTTGTTGAAGGCCCATGATTGTGACTACTCTACCCAAAGCCCTCCAACAGCTCCCCATCTCACTAAGAATGGCCTAAAGGTCCTGCACAATCTACTAACCCCATTCCACCCAAAATCCTTTGCCCCATCTCCTTCTACTCCTCCCTCCCTCCCCCACCTGGCCACCTTGTTGTTCCTAGACCTCTCAAGACATGCCCCTGCATCAGGGCCTCTGCACTTGCTCTTCCCTTGTCTGGATCCTTACCTCCTTGCTTAAATGTGCCTTCTCAATGAGGACAACCCTGACAATCCTGTTTAGAATAGGAATTCCCTCCAACACTCCTCATGCCTCTCCCTTTCCTCTTTTAATTTTCTTATACTACTTACCACTTTCCATGATAGTATATGAGTTACTTTGATTTCGTTCATTGTTTCTCTCTTCTTAGCAAAACAGTGTTTCTAAACCTTGTTTATGCTACGAATCCCTTTTGCAACAGCATACGAATCGCTTGTCAAAATAAGGCTTAAAGTGATTTAAAATGCATAAAAGAGGGGCCGTCTCGTGACTGTGTGGTTGAAGTTCCGTGCGCTCTGCTTCAGTGGACTTGGTTCACGGGTTTGGATCCCAGGTGCAGACCTACTCTATTCATCAGCCATACTGTGGAGGCACCCCACATACAAAACGGAGGAAGACTGGCACAGAAGTGAGCTCCAGGCTAATCTTACTCAAGCAAAAAAAGAGGAAGACTGGCAATGGATGTTAGCTCAGGGCGAATCTTCCTTACCAAAATAATAATAATAATAAAAAAATGCATAAAGGAAAAAGTATAGGATCACATGGACACAAATTATACTGAAATACAGGTATCAAAGTATTTTTTAAAACAAATTTTGGATATAATATATGTGGCTCTTTATTTATTAATAAGCTCCAACAACAAATCTAATAATCACTGTAGAGATTTCTGCCACCACTGTAATGTGATAAGATAACATATGTGATTTCCTAAGTGGTGGAAAGTTCCACAGATACTACTACTATGGTCGTTTGTTGCCTATCTTGGAGGAAACGCTAAATTCCAGTTAGAGGCTAGTGAAAGAAATATGTACTTTTTTCTTCATCCAGATGCATGAACTTCCCCTGAACTTTATGGTCCATGAATTCAAAGGTTAGGAACTCCTGATCTAGAGTAAAAACTACATGGAGGAATGGATTGTCTTTTTTTGTTCATTACTGTATTCCTGGAACCTTACATAAAACAGTCCCTGTCATGCAGTAGGCTCTCAATAAATATTGCCAATCCACGCAATGAGTTTCTCCTTACTGGGTAAGCTTAAGATGGAAGAGGAGAACCTGATGTTACCTCAGTCAACGTCTGGTATCAGTGCCACTGTGAGAGTGAGACTGGGGTTTAAAGACCTATATTTGTCATATATCATCGCCCCACAAACCCAAGCCAATTATTTTCTCTGATGCTCAACCAAAGAAACAATGGGAGTTCTGAGACAATTTTCTTTTTGAATTAAAACTATCTGCACAAGTTTGTAACATGGTGTCTTCTCATAAGGTTTTAAAGGGTAATACATTGCCTCTAGGAGATTTTCACCTTACTTGTTCATTTTAGAACCTAACTTCTGAACTAGGTTTGCACTGGACAACTATCACACCAAATAATCCAGATTTCTGTCTTTAAGAGATTTTGGGGGAGTGTGGAGGAAAGGAAAAGAGGAAGAAAAGGGAGAAAGCAGAACTAACCATTTGGAAGACCAAATTACTTCTGGGTAGAGAAAGGTCAGAAAAGGCAGCATTAACAACAATAATTCAGGGATTTCTCTCATCCCTCTCCTCCAAAAAATGACATAAATCTCTCTTGCTGCCAAACCTGAAAATAAATAAGAATACAAATCTGAATAGAGTCCCTGAAACCTGTTCGTACTAGGTAGTTTTTCAAAAAGTTATTTTCTAATCACCATAATGTCATCAATGCATTGGGTTTTTTAAACTTTGTTTTAAAAATTACTTTTGATTTCTGAAACCACTAATAAGAAAGTATTCTAAATTTACAATAGAGTACACTGCATATAAAGGACATACAGTAATTTCAAATTCAAAAGGAAATATATTTCACACTATAAAATTATCAAAGTATTTCACTACTTTTTTAAACAAGCAAAGACAAGCAAGTACATACTGAGTAATACATAAACAAATGAAATTCTGACTGCTTTTAAATATATTTGGTTCAAATCTTTGCATTCAGAATTCTACAGCCAAATGTTAGTAATTTTTACCTAGAAAATAGAATCGCAGTTGTAACTTTTTAAAATACACTGTAAAAACAAAAAAAAATCCTTTGTCACTATTTAAGAAAGTAAAAATCTTTCTATAATAGGATAATCACCATCAAAATATAAATAAGAACATTTTATGCATAATTTCGAGTTCTTCCCCATGTAAAAGAGTAAAAATTAGATGTTTATTGTAGTTATTCTATTATACTTTCGGTATCTGTTTACTTGTCAGTTTAATAACACTCTAGTAACTGCAGTTTTCATCAAAAGTATATTTTGGACAGCATCTCACCTGGTCTCTTCGTCATCCCAAGCGATTCGCATGCCTTTCCCACCACCACCTGCTGAGGCCTTGATCATGACAGGGTAGCCTAACAGCAGGGAAGAATTAGACAGAAGTTCAGACTTTGATCATTTGGATGCGTGAACATGACAACTGACCACATGTTCAATAACGCAGAAGACAATAACTAATTTATTTAAAAGTTCCTTTCTTTAGAGTTAGGAAAATAACACCAGTGTAATGATCTTACATTTTTTTTTAAATGAGAGTGTGATCATTTTAAAAGAAAAAAGACTATTTGTATCAATAAATATAACATTTTCCCCAGTAGTGAAATAAAAAGCTAAGAAAACATAAGTTATTTGACGGTGGATTCCAAAAATAGGAGTAGAAAAGTATTGACTAACCAAAGACATAAGAAGCAACTCATATAGCATTAAGGAAACACACATGCACACACACACACTCATACACACACATGCACACTTAAGATTTCCCAAAACTGCTGTTTGTACACATAACAAATTAAACTCCCTTCTTTCAAAAGTAATGATTTACAGGTACTTGAGGTATTTTCAACTGAAAAGTCACAGGGACCCTCTGCAGCTTTATCAGCAAGAATCGACATGATGGTTTGGGGAAAAATTAAGCCATGGTTATTATATCACAGGCTGAAGCAGAAGATCCAGCTTTCACTGATATCAATGGAGAAGGTATTGCACTATTCCATTCATTCAACAGGAAATGCCTAGACTAGTGAATATTATGAAAATATAAAGTAAGGTTCAAAACAAAGGACATTTCCGGCTAAAATTTTATAAAAGAAAATAAAATCATAAAACTGCCATTAGTTAATAGGACTGAGTATTCAGATTAGCTTTTATACAGTAAAATTTTTGACAGCATGAGTCATCTATAATGATTTATCAAGAAAAGCTGTAGTCTCCGTGTTTAGAGGTTTTCTGAAAAGAAGGTGAAGATACTCATCTCTGAGACCACTTGTTTACGATCTTTTCTGAATAAAGGAGAGGTCAGTGAGCCCATAAAGGACTCTTCCTGGACTGTGATGCTCTAATAGCACTAAACTCTAGCTATAGGATCTTAGAGGAAAAGGAAAGAGAGGGCTAAATGTCACAGACCTTTGACCCTTGAACCACAAAACATCACTCTTAACTTCAACTTAGTTAAAATGCCACTTGCTTCCTAAGTGTTTCATAATTAATTCAATTTTAAAAATTCTGATGTTGGTTGTGTTTATGTGGGATAGATTCACGTAAGATAGCATTTTAAAAATAATGCTTTATAAGCGCAGTAAGGAGAAGAAAAACTAGCATACTGTTTTCACATTGTGAGCCTTATAATCTAGGAAGAAAGAGGGACAGTACCCAAATAATTCTACCACTGGGAATTCAGAAGAGAAAAGGATCATAGGAAGGCAAGAGAAAAGGGATTAAGAAAAGCATATTATAGAAAGGGCCATTATAGGAGGATATGAAGGATGAGTTGGATTGGAACACTTTAGGCAGGAACAGCAGAAATAAAGCAGGCAGGGAAGCATGGGACAAGTTTAAGAAATGACCAAAACAATTCATCTGAAGTATAAAGTATCTGTAGGATGGCAGAGGAAAAGAGAACTGAAAACATCAACTGGGGGCAAAGTATGCTATCTACTTTTGCATAGTACAGACCCTGCATAAGAGTAACAAGAATGGTGCTCGTCTCATTCAATGCTATAGCCTCACAATGAGTGTCATATAAAGGAATTAGATTGAAATCAATAAAGAAGAATTAGCCTGCTTTTGAGCAGTGAAGAAACAATATCTGAAAATTAGAAACTGGCATGCCTGAGAAATCTTTTTCACAACAACATAAGGTCTTGTTTTAAACAAATGGATCCATACCCGCCCCCCAAAAAGCCATGTAAGCAATTCACCATCACAAACTATTTATCCATGTAAATAGGAAACCACAAGAGGTATAATATCCACATCCCATATCTCTACTATTTTCAGTTCCATCTGAGGATTAGGAAATTTACAGTTATTCTATTCTAGTTTAATCTCATCTTAGTCATTTACTATGGACCACAAACTATGCAGTGATTTGTGAGGTTTGAAATAAGATTGGGAAATCGTGCTTGGTCACAAGGAACTAGATGGGGAAATAAAACACATAAAATAACTTGTCAACAAGAAATTATTACTTGTTCAGAGAAAGTGAGGAGCTGTTAGACAATAGGGCAATATATAAAAAGGCAATTACAATATGGTCCCCCCAAAGAAGGCAAAGCAGCATTCAACCTGTGAATACGTCTAATCCAGAAAGGCAAGATTCCCTGACAAAAATCTAACAAGCCAAATACAAAACATTTGGGAGGGAGGGAGAAACTGGCAAAAGTTAGTGATATTATAGTCACTAACTCAATCTAATTTTTGAGCTATAAGTGGAAATAATATAAAGGTTAAGGTTTTGCACTCATGCCAAGGTTTCCTACTTATGCCAAATAAATCACTAAATTTCAGACAGTGCATATTTTTATGCTGTCACCATGCCTTGAATAAACAAGACCTAGCCATTTGAAGAGGAGAAAAAGAATATTCCACACAAGTGATGTTAAATAATATCAAAAAGTCCAGTCCCTCATCCCTACTTTCTTATTGAATCTCTGCGGTTCTAATTAGGGTAAGTCATGGGGTGCCAGGAGTTGGAAGAAAAAGGAAAAAAAGGATTCAGTCAAAAGCTGACATTCCCAGAAAAACCAGAAATGATCAAGTTCACAGTTATCGCTACCCCTCACCTTAGCTAGAGTCTGGACATGAAATTTCTACTAATGTTCTCTCACACTTTTTTTTTTATCCATTAGAGTACTTACTCTTCTGTTCTTTTGTCTATGATGCATTTCTTTAACTTTATATTCCTCAGTTGACATGTTTGAAACAGAACCACCTCCCTTATCATAATAAAACAAAATTCTCCAAGGTTTTCAAAAGGAGATGAATCTCTTAGTATAAAAAGATTACTTGAAAAAAAAAAAAAAAACAACTCAGTCCTGGTACTGTTGGCAAGTTCTTCCTTATCTTTACCCTCCTCTCATTGGACGCCTCCTCCACCACCTGACCTCCCCCTCCCAGCCCAGAGACATGTGACTCTCCTACAACACTCCTCCAACTCCACCAGCAAAAAGTCTCTATTTCTTATTTCCCTTCTGCACAGTGCTTCCAAAATGAAATCTACTAAATATTATGCAAGAAAAAAATTAAATATTTAAGAAAATATAGGTTACCAAAGTACTAAAGGTTTCTATTCTTACTTCTCTATACTCAATCTCCAAGGGCAGGTTTAACTATGGGATGACATCTTAACTGGTTTCCTTTCCTTCCAGCAATCCAGCATATCCCCTTCAACCATACACCAGAGATCCTCTTTCTAGCTCTACCAACAAGTTGTCATTCATGAACTCAAAAACATATACTGAATAAATACCACATGCCAAACACTGATCTGGCTTGGGAGGATACAAAGATAAACAATTCAGAAAGTTATCTGCTCTCGTGGCACTTACTATCTAGCAGAGAATTATATATAAATATACATACACCTAAATATACATACACATATATATTATACATATCCTAACATATATAACAGGTAGGGCTGTGATAAGTGCTATAATAAAACAACAGAGATGTGATTGAGAATGATTAGGGCTACTTTTCCTTGAAAAGCCTTCTCCGAAAAAACAGATATTTAAACTGAGACCTGAATGAACTAGAGCTAGCCCTCTGAAAATCAATGAGGAAGGAATATTCCTGACAGAAGGAACAAGTTGGAAAGGTTATATAGGAGAAGGCAGTGACCTAACATAGCATTTTTTAAGATCATTTTGGCTGTTCTGCAAGGTATGAATTATAAAAGGGCAAAGATGGGAACAAGGAGATTGATTAGGAAGCTTTTGCAGTGGCCCAGGGTAACGAGAGCTGTAACCTAGACTTGGCTGGTAGAAGCAAAGACAAAGACTTGAAGTCTGTCTTAGAGGTAGAGTCAGCATGACTTGCTGATAGTTTGGATATGGATGCTAAAGGAATGAAGGAAGACTCCAGGAGCTTAGGCGCTTTCTTGTTTACTTATGGATTCCAAAACTAAAAGAACTCATTTTTTTTTTGATCAACTGATAGCACCATGTTGATATGCACAAGACACAATAAATGACCTCCCCCTTCAAGCAAAACCTGCCCCTATACGTGGTGAAATAACCTGGCAACTTAAAGGCTGATGAAACGACACCTTCATGATGCAATAGTCCAAAGAGTCATATAATAAAGAATTTTATGTAGCTTTTCCACCTACAGTTTCTTGAATTAAAATTCATAGAATATAATGACTAATGGAGAAGGAAAACTTAACAAGAAGGGAAAAGCGAAGTAAGTCTTGGGAAATGTCCTGTTCCTAATTTGGTGGTGCTAATCAGAAATCTCTCAAGGCTTAAAGAGAAGGTGTGATTTTTTTTTCTTTTTTGTCCTCTTTTAAAAAGAGTTAGGAAACACTTATAATTAATTAAAAGGCCTGTATTTCCTAAAAGAAAGGTTCAAAGGAAAAAGGAAAGAAAGCTATTTCAGAGAGTAAGACAGTCTTCTAGATGGACAAAAGAGGCTCTGATAACGTGATCTCAAAAGCTAAAACAAAAGAACCAGGGGGAAAAAAATTCACAACAGACAGGAAGGAAATCCCCAGATGAAGGCCGTGCATTATAATTACAGGAAAATCAACCATTATGCATTGCATTCGTTATATTCCTTTACTCTCCTTTAATGTAAAATACTTAACTTACCTTTTTGCTTTGAGGGATTTTATTATGAAAGTGATATTTTTGAAAAATCCAAGGTGGTGGTTGTATAGAATATTCCACAATTTGAATTTACCTGATTGTCTCCTCATTATTGGATTCAGAATACAAATTTTTTAAAAATACTACATAGCTGACTTTGTACTCTCATTCTTAAAACATCCATTTGTCCTTTTGCTGATGAAGTTAGGTTTGATTACTTGAGTAAGATGGCATCTATTAAATTTCCTCATAAAATATATGTC